AGGCTGAACCAGCAAAAATCTGAAGCAACCACCTGTGGAGCATGGTGTGCTTTGCCCGAGGCAGAAACCAAAGCAGCCTGTTGCTGATGCTGTGCGACGGCCGCAGCCTTCTTATGACGGAAACGACCAACGATGCCCCAATGGATCACTTCGTGCTTTTCGCGCTTGCTTCAATGACGGATGCTCAAACCTACACGTCTACCCGCTGCTGTTGCACTATTCTGCCAATTCCTGCTGTTAATTCCTGCTGTTGATATGGTCCTCTGTTCCATAAGTTGGCCGGTCCTGACCGTGATGACGAACTCCAATGACAAGATTGCTTATCACATGTACATGCTGACCATTCAAGTAGCGTACCATTCAAGTAGCGTAGCTCATGCTGTCTTTGGCACATATTGGAGTGTTCTCCGCCCTGATGTGTATCTACTATAGATGGCGGACCGCGGATATGTACAGGCGTAATTAAATAGGTTTGCATGCATCTACCAATTCGCCTATCTACCTACCTGTCTGCGAGCGAGATAGCAGGGACGAGAGAAAGACAGAGAGAGAGAGAGAGAGAGAGCGACAAATACAGTATTTCAATAACGAAAATCAAGCCATGTACATATGTTTACGGCTCACGTCCATGCATGCCGACTCTGGGTTCACGGATGGATGGATGCATGTATGGATGGATGGGCGGACGGATGGAGGGATGGATGGATCGACATATGCATGGAGTACATGGCAAAGATGCCTGGCTACATCCATACACCCTGCGGAACATAGCATATCATTCTGCTCCGTGGTCAGAAATCGGGGGCACTACGAAATAAGTTACAAAACTAGCAGTTTGCATTCACGCGACAGGATGCTTCTCCCGACATCAATGCATCAGGATTTACTCAATTCTGGAAATAAATCAGCTGGCTTAAGATTATTAGAGTTTAGGGTTGAGTGACCCACCGCGCCTGCGCCTGTGCAGCCTGTGCAGCCTGCGCCTGGGCTGCAGCCACTTGCGCCTTGCCATCACAAAGTCTTGAAACCACAAGGACTAATATAAGGGCCTTAATAGTTAGAATACTGTTTTGGTGCCCATCATACTATAATTAAAATAAGGACCCCCNNAAAAAAAAAAAAAAAAAAACCTACTCAAATTGTTAAGGCCCCTACATTATGGGGAGGCTCAGCGTTAATCAAAGGGTTTCCTCCATCGAGCCCTCAGAAGCTAGCGGCAGGGATGAGATCCGTCGGCACTCGCTCGGGTTGTAGGGCTGGGCGTGAATCCCCGACGACGCTGTCTGTGTCGCAAACACTGCAGGCTCCAGTTTGGCCAATGCCGAAGTCATGATGACGACTGAACACTGCATTTACATTGAATTGCGGGCAGAACATGCGCTGAAGATTACAACTTGGACTGCATGAACCAAACTCACAAGCCAGCCACAAGGGCACCAAGACCAAGCCTGTTGCAAGCGCATGAGCTCATAGTAGTTGTAGCCGCTCGCAGCCATAGTAGGATCTGGCCATTCCACACAGTTTCAACGTATGCAGAGTTTGAGATCATATGGGTGCGGAGGGTAAACAAGGCCTTGGTCTAGGGTAAAGGGGTGCTCTCCAGCATTGAATATAGTGGTCTCACTTTTAGGCTATGACAGGATCTTGGGTAAACACATGACTAAATAAGTACTTATGCCGCAGGGATGATGCAACCTCTCGAATAGCCAAGCTCTGGTACTCTAGCTCGGGGATGACCAGGGTCACTAAACTACTGCAATTTGCGTACGTGGCCACGACGTGTCGATTGAAGATTGAAAACACTTTTGATTGATGCAAAGAAACTGCGGGAAATGACAGAATGCTATCAGAGCAGGTATCGAACAAAGCATGTTTCGTTGACAGAGGAGGCATTGCTTTTTGTTGCAATCTTGGTTGTCTACAAGCGATATTCAGCAGCATGTGCTTTTGCTAGCAATGCGGGCTTGCATAAGATACAAGAGCACCACTTATTGCCAACTTATCGCGAACAAATCTATTTGGGATGCGCAGGGTTTTAAGAACAGCGATCTGCCGACAGCACTCTCGCAGTGCAGACTTCGATGCGAAGCAACATGAGAAACGCCACTTGCTGCCATGGTGCGGTGTTCACCCGTGCTGCGACAATAAAGAACAGTAAAGATCAGACTAATAATACTAATTGAGACTAACAGTAATAGTGATAATGCCTTGCCCTTGCTTCTTCAGGCCGAGTTCTTTCCTTTTGGAGTTAGTTTCAGAGCTCAGGGAGCCAACATTTAATTTCGATCCAATCCGAACGTCCAAGGGTTGATCTCTGTGGCAGAAGTTGTCAGAGTTTAGGGGGCTGCGGCATTCCAAACATCATTGAACCTCATGTGCTGCTTCATGCAGGATTCTGTCCTATTTTTGTTGGCTTGTTTTGTGAAATTTAGCGTGGAAGTTTGCGAACACAAGCATCGTCCGAAGCCTGTCATCTGAACTGACAGGATCAAGCAACCAGCTTGCAGCTAAACGGGCGTTGCTTCGAGAAATGCCGAGCACGAGGGACGCGAGTTCCGAACAACCAATTCTGCCAATGTGTGAATTTCTAACTCTTTGAAACCAGTAACCCTCAACCCTAAACCACTAGGATCCTGAGGCCTTAACCTCTTTGAAACCACTAGGATCCTGAGGCCTTAAGACGTGAGCTCACGGCGCCTGCCAGAAGCTGCATCTGCCGTTGCCGAGCTGCCTGGTGGCGAGAGGCAGGGACACGACCGGACGAAGAGTTGAACTCCGAACACCTAAACTATGGTAGAGTACATCATGCTATAGTAGAGTATACTACATGCTATAGTAGCGTATACTACAGTATAGCATTGTGTAGTATGTATATTATACTATAGCATAGTCCATGATACGATAGTACAAGAATAAGCCCGAAGCCCCAACTGGCTCAGCATCAGGCCTCTATGGGGGAGTGCCCTCCCAAGAGGCATTACTGACGAGGGTCCCGATCAAGAGTGAAGGGCCCTCGTCTCCCTCGAGTGCTCAGGTGCCTGCATTCCTGTAACAGAGAGCATGGCTCCACCACACTAAAAACTCATTCTCCCGTTCATCCTGCCTCTGCCTGCTGTTGTAGCCGAAGCTGCTGGGCCTGCACGCTCTACGGCAGTCGCTCTGCGATGTAGTTGTCCCTAGCCCCCCATGTACCTACTATATAGGGTACTAGAGTCCCTAGGGCCCTATATAGTAGGTACCTGGGGGGTTAGGGTGTTATACCGTACTGGCATGATGCTCTGGAACGAAGCTATGCGACAAGTGCTGAACGAAGACATGCGAGTCTACTACCCTCTGCCACACTGCGTGGATCTGTGTGGTAGAACGGGACCGGCACTGTGCTGTACTCTCCGCAGAAAAGAACCTCGTCTCGTTGTATTAATTATATTAACTAAGCAAGCAAATGAAGCAGTAAACCCAAAAGCCCTAGTTGTCGCCGTGCGCCTAAACCGTCGCCTATCCTCCAAAGTCTGAAGCCGTTCATCCTAAAATCTCAGAGGCCGAAACCTGACACTTCCGATATGAACTGCTGAAGCCTAAACCCTAAACCCTAAACCCTCACTGGGCAGGAGCCTGCGCTGCAGCCTGGCGAACGGCCTCCTCCCGAGCTTGCGCTTCTCGAAGAGCGGCCGCTTTGGCCAGGGCCTCTGCCTGTTTAGGGTTTATAGGGGTTTATAGGGTTCAGGGTTTAGGGTTTATAGGGGTTTATCGGGTTTAGGGTTTAGGGTTTATAGGGGTTTATAGGGTTTAGGGTTTAGGTGGCTTGTACAGAGTTCCATGGTGGTTCGTCCAGAGTTCTATCGGGAATTGCACAGAGAAGCCAAGCAGGGCAATGCCTGGTAGAAGACAAAAAGTATGCACACACTTGTAGCTACCCTGGTCCCGCTGCGTGTTGCTATTCTGATGTTGAGTATGTATGTATGCCTGTACGTACGTATGTATGTATGCATGTATACACTCACGCATGTATGCATGCATGCATGCATGTATATGTGTATACATGCGTATACATACACATTTGCATGTTTATGTCTCTTGCTGCTGTTACGATTCTGCAGAAACAAAGATATACATATCGATTCACGCACGCGCACACGCAGACGTGAAACAAGTCGCATAACTCAAAACGATAAACGAGGTTACATGTCTGAATATGCAGCAGTTCTGCTATTTACGCACGTACGGATACAATGCAAAGGGGATGCCAGTAATGAAGAGTGGCAGAGAAGCTAAAAGACAAGCATCACCGGTCGAGGCTGCTCGCCTAGAGTCATGAGGAAAGCATAAAATGCAACTGACGGAAGGGGATCAGTTTGACATGTCTCACTCGCCCTGAGGCAACAGAGCAAGAAGTACCAGGCCAAATAAGCAATCCGATGCTTGAAGCCGTAGCGGCAAACTGCAACACTGCAGCACAGCCCCAGCCAACAAAGCTGGAGAGCAGATGCCACTGCATGTTGCAGCCTCATGGACTCCCGCCTGAGCCTTTTCGTAGGCTTGAGCAGCAGCGGCCGCAGCAGCAGCTTGAGCAGCTTGAGGCGCTTGTTGAGGCTGCGGGCTTGCCTGAGCAGGACCCAATTAAGGAATACCCTACCTTAAATCATATTAGGGATCCTACTATAATTTCAGGTATATTCCTTCATTAAGGGATATTGGAGTCTCTGGGTCGCTCTTACCCTCACCCCAAGTCCACGCCAGGACAGGGCAGCGCAGTACTGTGCACCGGGCCAGGACGGGGAGCGTGGAGAAGGCCTCCTTAGTATCCAGTCGCGCTGCAAAGAGGAAACTCAAGCAAGTGAGCATCGGAGCCTGAATCAGGGCAGACGACTAACCTGAACCTGATGCTCCAAGAGCAAATCTCACTGGTTGCGGATCAGTGGCCGTTGGCGGTGGATAGAGCTTCTGCAGAGGCTGAAAGTCGTTGTTGCGAAACCTCGCTTGCACGCTACCCACTACTGGTATCAGCCCTGCCCAACACCTGGGCTAACAGCAGGCTTGAGAGATGACTTTACGAGACTTGTGCAAGACCGGTCATGCCTATGAAGGACGCTCCAACACCAGCGGGGCCTGATGGGTAGATCGGTTGCGAAGTATCCGGCCTCACAGAACTCAAGAAACGGCAAGCTGATCCCATGAAAGGCGATTCTCTCAGGTTCCGAAGTCCGCCAGGCTTGTAGCAAAGACAAAACATCTCGGAGCTACCGATCTCACAGGACATCGCCGTTGAACTCCTGAAATCCTTGTCGCCTAAACCAAAGCCGAGCCAAGATCCAATGGCCTGGCTCCAATGTTCCATTTGGGACGTCTGGAACGGACCCTGCGCAGGGCTCGGGCATCCGGACTCTTCTTCCAGATGGCTACAGTGACTATAGTCTGTGGGCCTCACTGTACGATCCGACCCATAGCTCCTCAACCTGAACGACCTACATGGTCTGTAGCTGATACCGCGCCTGGGTCTTGCCCGTGGGATCCTTGTAGTACCAGCACCGGTCGTTCTTGAAGGCCTCCCGGTCCTGGTGGCACTTTCAGGGTGTTGAAAAGTTAGAACTCAGGGGTATGGATTGACAATGATTTTTTTGCATCTTGACGTTCAGGCTGCGGCATGCTGAGCCGTAGCCTAAACCTAATTCATTTTGAACCGGAGACTAGGCCACAGCTTCCCACAGCCCCGAGCCTCTGCCATACGCGCCGCCTCCGCCGCCTGCAAGCGCGGATCCGGGACCGGCTCGGGCGCAGGCTCCCGCAAGTGCCTGGCGAAGGAAACGAAGGGCCGCACTTGCGTAGGGTTTAGGGTTTAGGGCTTAGAGTTTAGGGTTTAGGGTTTAGGGTTTAGGGTTTAGGGTTGCAGAGGGCTTTTGCACCCCGGTAACTGGCCACGTACCGGACAGAGCCTCTGTTGTTGATTTACTGAAGGATCCAGCACCCCGAAGGTGCATCCTGAATGTGGTGTAGCTGTATTCATGGCTTTTCCCACCTGGAAGAAGCTCTTTTCAAGAAGTGCATTGTCCAACCAAGGATGCTGATGCACTTCGGCCCTTCCTCAACACCACGTGAAGCTCCGAAAGCCGCGCATTTTCACTCCCGGAATCCCAAAGTGATCATCATTGTGCATCTTCTCCTTCTTCTTCCCATCAGACATATGGATGGGTACTGATACTACATGCTACTGCTCTGGTCAGGTACAGCCGGTTCGTACTGCTTGCCAGGATCAGTGTCGATACGACTGCTACGAGTTGCCTGTTCAGCCACCGATGCCGGATCATCATCTTCACACCGTCTCAGCACACCGACCCCGATCAGATCATCCTCAGCCAAAACCAACAACCTCAAACACCAAACCCCAGGTTTTCGTGTTAAACCCTCTTTTCCTACTGACATGGGCCAAAGTCCCGGTTTAGGTGTCAAAAGCCAAACCCCCAAACCCCACCAGCCTGAAACCCCTAAACCCTTAAGCCCTAAACCGAAATTCCGGGGGCCCGACATCTCATCGGGACGTACCTTGGGAGCCTGGACCATCTCGGGCGCCTCGTGGGGCTGGGTAGTTTAGGGGCTTTGGGGTTCAGAATTTAGGACTTCAAGGGGTTTAGATTTATGTGTTCAGGGTCTAGGATGGAGAGGATTTGGCACTTAAGATTTCGGATTTTATGTTCCGGGTGTGGGATTGACGGATCGGGGTTCAGGGCTTCGCGCTGAGTGATTGGATTCGAGGGCATGCATGCGAGAGCTTGCTTTTTCACGGCCTGGGAACAAATTATCAGCAATGATTTCAACACACATACACGCATGGTAAACTGTGCAGAATGCCAAGCGTCTTCGCAGACAAGTTATCGACAAACACACACACACACACACAGGTGCTTCATTGGACACCATCCTGGAGGCTAAAAGAAACCCACAGATCAATCTGGCCAGGCCCATTCCCATCCCATTCCCCGTGCTCAACCAGAAACTTAAAAGTCAGACAGACACTCCAAAAGACAAAACGCACAGTGAGGATTAAAAAGACTGACACGCCAATGTAAGTGCTGTAATGTACTACATATCTTATTTGAAAACTTATATTCTTACATAATTTGTATTCCAGCTTACTACATTACGTTTATATTATGAAAAAATAGATTGTTATGTTATGTTGTGTTATGTTATGTTATGTTATGTTATGTTATGTTATGTCATGTTATGTTGTTTGGTATTCTGCTATGTTACGAACAAGACATTGCATTATATTACATTGTGCTGTATCATATTACATTACATCACATTACATTCCATCACATCACATCACATCACATCACATCACATCACATCACATCACATCACATCACATCACATCACATCACATCACATCACATTACATTACATTACATTACATTACATTACATTACATTACATTACATTAC